ACCACAATCTCAGGTGGTTAGAGCGGAAAAAAGGTTGAGGACTAGGCCGGACTCCTTTGAATGCGCTTGAGAAACGGCGACAGTTGTCACCAGCATTTCAGCGGCATCTCTATAAACTTGTTTTTCCAAAAGGTTTGAATGTTTAGGCCCCCTTCCAGCACTTGGGGAACTACTGGAAAATGTTAGAGGGGCGGGTGGGGTATAGCCATTCGTCACTGTTAGTTTTACACTGGTTCCCAGGATGTGTCCACCCGCGATTCAAACGGTGACAGCGTTCATCGCCAAGGTTTGGACTAGTCGTTGCTGTTGCTCATGACCTTTTCTCTTCAATTGTCTCCCATTCAGGAGGTTTTTGTTACCACTCGGGCTGTGCACTCCCTAAATAGCCATACTCTACGGTCATTATGTTGACTCAACGTCTTTCATCATTACGCTCGCTTTTTCTAGCTTCAACGTGCCAGCTTGACAATCTGTCAGACCTAATGACTCACCTAAGAATAACATCTCATAGCGAGTCGCATTCCGCAATCCTGATGTAATGATGTTCGGCCATTCATCTTTGAAAAAGCAAAATTATGACAGCGGATGGGAATGCCGGAACTCCTCACCCGATCCGTCAATACACAATCCCATCAAAGCTCTCGGATTTGTATGTTATACAGGCCATGTCCATTACATGGACCCGTTGATAAGAATATCGACGAACCAATGCAAAAGGCCTTTCCTGAGCCTTTTCATGCAGTCTCGCCTCAAAACCCTCCCCTCCACCCCTTCAATTTCTTTTCTTCATGCTTTTTGAATTTCCTTTGTGACTACGAATGAAAGGACACCTGGGAGCCTCGTCAAAATTAAATTTTTTGTAATCCGCTCCTTTGAAGGCAACCTCAGATAGAATTATGAGTGGGATCGTGGAATTGGACCAGCTGTTGGTTCAGGGTTGTTTAGAGTCGGCGGTCACTTGACCCTTGTCGAGAAGTCTATTACAGTAATCCGGACACCAGTTGAATTTGAATACCCCTTCCCCCTCATGCCATTTACGGCAGTTCCCGTCTTTACATTCTCCATCCACTCAAAACCGTTTTTCTCAAGACAGGACTTCAATAACATGAATTCTCGTTTCTTTAGCGGCTGGAGCGGGCCCTGAGCGGAATACATTAACAGCAACACGGTAATGGGGTCGTTATTCTATAGCAGTAATGTAATAAAATGTGATGGTTCATAGTTTTCTGAGTCTCGGGCGCTTTTGACGCTCACCGAACCGCACATAAATCTGGACTGACACGTCACCTTCAGATCTGGTTCGCAGCTGGAAACGTTGCCGACCGTTTCTTTCCTCGCCTATCGGCATTTCTGAAGCAAAAGGGTATCTTTTAAGTATTCCCGCTGTTATTTGAGAAGACATTTTCGCGGCGGGACGCCTTTCGACGATATGCCCTTTCCGTTCATATGGGTTACTGGTATTTCAGCCACATTTCTTTTCATCAGCGGATCTATGCCTTTCAAAATAATGGGAAACAAAAACCCCAAGCTTGCGAAGCGGAGATCCACACTCACCGGATCAACTGGACAAGCTTTACGCCACATGAGGTTGCTCGCGACCGCACGTCTTTTTGTCACCTTATGAGGACAAGCTGTTGGTCATAACAGCAGCTTTGTTCGAGTTCTATAGCTTCAAAGCTTTAGATTTCTTTTAACCCTACATACTTGTAAGCCGTCTCTGTAAGAATATTACTTTTATGATTTGAATGCTCAGCTCCTCTGGATTGTTCCATTTTGCTACGCCTCCTATGTTCAATGATTTTTATTTGTTTAATTTAAACTTTATATGTTTTCCCACTTTAACTGGCTACAATCCCACAAGAATCTCTAGCTCCGAGGCGTCTACCGGAAATATGGGCGGGCAGCCACATGCGTTAGTCAGTCGCTGGTTGCCAGTCGTACTCCCTCATTAACTACCAACTGCCCGAAAAAATGTTGAGCATGTTTTTCGTCCTTATATTTCAGTAAATTGAAGTGATTTAAAATTAAAGTAGCTAGTAGTCGACCAACTTGATTTAGATATTTCAAAAACTAGCTCAGTTATTAACTACTACATTGAAATTCTCTTTAAAATTTTTTGTAAAATTGCTGAATTATTGGTAGCAAATAGATAATACTTTTTTCGTTTTTTTTGTCCAAAATGTTAAAAACCAGAACAAAACTCATTCTGTAGTTCAATTCCCGCTAACCCTTCATACTTTTGCGAGCAATGAAGTAAAGACTATGGTCACAGGGCAGCCATGAACAAAACACTCGCTTCAGGACCCAATCTTATTCACTAATTTCACGACTGGTACGGTAGGAATTTGGGTACGGACGTCAGAGCGAGCGAGCACTTAGTTTTACATAGTTGAGATTCCCGCGACTCAGAGATTAGAAATACACAGTCACTCCATGGGCACTCGTGACAGGACTCCTGCACCTACTTAGTTATTTAGCGAACTGATATGGTAACAATCCAAGCATAGCAAAAATTTGATGTCTGCTCTCATCGAAAAGCAAAGTTGACCGAAACACTGTAGCATCCTACCATCACCGTAAGCACTTATACTACAGCCTCGCACGTACTACCTATGGAGTACGATCTCTGAGTAGAGGCAATCGTGTAAGGACCAATGTACTTTTGGCAAGCCGCGTTCTGCTATAAATCGTGCTCAAGCTGACATGCTTCCTAACGAGTGTTTGTCGTTGTGCGGACATTATTCAAGTTTTTTTCTTCGTTCACATTCGATTTTTTTCGGCATCGAATCTGTGCTCTCATAACGGCAAATGACACCACACTCATAGCGCGATATCGATCGCCAATGGTGGTGGGTTCTCAATAGGTCCGTCCATCCGTCCGTCCGTTCGTACGTCGTATGGCTCTCCACCACCACCATCACCACCCTCATTTATCATTGCCGTCGTGGGAAGATGATGATGACGATATTTACTATTTGCACGGCCCCACGATGACTTGGCCGTTTTTCTTCTTCTACTTCGAATGTTTATTGTTTATTTTGTCTATTCGGATCGATTTCCATTCGTTTTAGCTTACAGATTTTCGGGTTTTCTTCTGAGTTTCGGCTTTTTCGCCAGCGATCCTATCGCTCTGTCGTTCGTTCTTTCGTGCTTTTTTTTCCTCCCATCATTTTTCATTCTTCGCGCCTTCCTTTTTTCCTTGGCCCCTTCTTTTTCAAATGTATTCCTGCATATTTTTCGCCGTTTTCTTTTCGAACGTGTTTCTGGAGTATTTCCCCTTTTCCAACTTTTCAGAGGATACCTTCATTCATGAAAGTAACTCCCCTGACCTCGTACTTCAGTTCACGCACCAAAAACCACTATGAATTATTTACCTCTATTGCCGTCATTCGAGTAAACAATGCAACTCTTTGTTTCAGGAGTACCTTTTTGATTAACTGCTGTTTCCTCTTGACTATTCTATGGTTTAGTCTCTTGTCGATGTCAATTTAACATCAGATTACCCAAATATAGGCAATATGGTTCTCTTTTCTAAACCCTGTGTCTGTTAATCTGAATTAGCAATACAGCATGAAAGTAGAAATAAACCAAAAGAGCCTGAGCTGTTTCAGAAACAGCTTTAATCCCAGTTTTTCCTGTGTTTACTTTGACTTTCCTGGCCCTAGTGCGGAAGTTTCTCTGAATTTCTCACAAGGGGGGATCGAAACACCGTGAGGGATGATTTTAACGCCCTTTCCCTCCACCTTTTAGTGCTCATGTTTTCGGAAAAATGAATTTTGACGTGGTCGGCTTTCGCCCCGCATTCCGTTTTGGTTATTTGGACCGTATGATCGTTTGGGAAGGGTGACTTTCTCCCAACCAGTCTCACTTCCTATCAAAAAAGAAGCTGCCAAGTTTTAGACTTTGCTTATCGAAACGGAAATCTCACCCCTGTATCCCGTTCTGGAACCTTGCCCAACCAAACTCTGTGCTTAGTGAGATTTTCTTTTCGATTACTTCATAAAGAAGGATAGGAAATGATGGGTCCCCTGATCCAAATGTTAACAAATGGTTCCCCGAAAGTGGTTCTCAACGTGTAGAGTTCATTTTCCAGATGATTTCTCACCACACACCTTTCACTTTTTCACTCGCTCTCTTTTTTTTTTACCCTTTTTGTTTTTTACGGGATGTGGAGAGTAGGGGGATCTCTAACCTGGCGGTTTTTGAAGTGGTTTACTCACTAACAACACTATGAACCCATATTTGTAGTACCTTCAGTTAGTATCGTGTTGTATCAGTTGTTACAACTAAACGATACCAAATGATACTATTGTTTGATAGCACACATTTTTAAGCTTAATCAGTCATGCCTTACACATTGCCTGGTCTAATATTCCACCGGAATTTTGCCCAATTTCAACCGGTAGAGGACAGGTTTACTATAAGAGCCTCCTCCTTATTAGAGAGGCTTTCGGATGGTGAAAAAAAAAACACAAAACATTCTGTGCATACGGAGAAGTAATTTCTGCTAAGATCGAAGAAAAAAGGTGGTGTTCGTTATTTCATGGCTGGGCTGCCTTTTAATTGGAACTCCTTTCTTCTTCTCGTTATCCCAAGTTTCTTTTTGCCTTTTTTTTCTGCAGCATGGCTTCTGTAGGAAATGAGGCTCTCGTGCTTCCCCCTCGCCCTCCACGCCTCCCCTTCTTGGAAAATTCTTTCTTGCATGAAATTTCTCCTGCTTAATTGATATGAAGAACAGTTACCCGGCAACCACCAAGGGCAAATCCTTGACGGTCTTCTTTGCGGCTTTGGATTGATGGATATTTTCTTTACGCAATCTATTGCCGGGTTTTACTACTTTGATTCTTTTCAACGGCCTTCAAAGGCCTTTGTTCTCTCAGTCATTCCTGAACTTATTCTCAGCGACTTTTACGATCTGTCGTTCTTTCATCGCCCGCTGTGTATGAGAGTTGCGTTGAGTGAGGCCCACATGTGAAATCAGTCGACTCATTTCGTTTCAGATGTCATTCGACGAGCTTTATGAGAGTTGTTTTCGGAACGCATCGCTTGTAAGGGTCCCACAGGGAAAACCGGTATGGTCATACATCTTTGTGTTCTATTCCCTTTTTATACATTCGTAAAATGATGTTCAGACGAAGGACGATGCCTCGTATTTGGTGACGCTCGATCATGTCATGAACAGCAGCCGTTACGTGGTGTTTTTTCTGACTGCTGGTGCGAAAGGGGCCGATTTGAGCTTGAAACTTGACAATATGATACGTAAGAAGAATGAGAAAGGCGACAAGGATAAAGTTCAGAAGTAAGTTATTTTCTATTACATTTTAAATCGATTTTTACTATTGTATTTTTGAATCGATTTTTATTGAATGATGATGGCTGTAGAATTTGCTGGACTATCTTTACTGTGTGCCACAGAATTTTGGGCAACCTTGAGCAAGGTTGAAGTGTTCTACGCTTGCTAAAAGTTACCTTTTTTGTCCCCCTGTCCCCCACGTCGGCCTTCACATTCTCAGTGTTGTCTAAGAAAACGTCCCAAAAAGATATTTTGATGATAAAATTTCCTCTTTTTAGGGAAACAGTCATTATGTAACTACATAATGAACGAATTAAGATAATTAGTATATAATAAGTCCGCAATTATGGTAAAACAAATTAGCAAACAAAATATTGACAAACACCAAAGTTATCTCTTTTTTATCTCTACCATTCGTAGTTTTCTTAAAGGGTGATGGCATGTAATAAAGCTCGTTCTCGCGTAATTTTTCTGTTACCGTATTCTTCAAGTGCATCCATTTCACTCTTATCTCTAAACGATGTCAATGTCCGTAAAAATCTATAGCTAATGGAAGTGTAGTTTTGAAATGGTCCAGAAAGAAGAAGGATGAAAGGGCTGCCGTGGTCGTTCACAAGATTTTATAACCAAACAGCAGGGAGTCCGCTTAGTTTTCCGACCACCACTGTCATCACTTTCACATCAACGTGCCGGTATAAAACGGCTACAGCTGTGAGAAAGAGGAAGAGCGCAGACTGTTGACTTGAAAAAATCACATCCAGACGTCCATTCGTAATGGTAGAGTAGGCGTTTAACAAGAACGACGGGGATGTGGAAAGCAAAAAGCTGGGTTTTGAAGCATGCTTCTACAAGACTGTCTGAAATTTGGGGAAAAAATATTGTTTACAACTCAAAAAGAAATCGAGGAGTACCCTGACTTGAACGTATGCTCCCAATGGATATCTGCATCCCTTTGGGTTCGTGGCTATTCCCATAAAACTAAATTGCCCTCTCTACCAAGAAGTCATCAAGTTGAAAAAAAGTTTATCCACTTGGCGAAAATTATTTCTTGGTCCTTAGTGGTACGGGGTACTGTAAAAAGACGAATATATGTTGTTCTGAAGGAGCGAATGAATGATTCTCGACAGGTGACGCCACGACTGTCTTATGATCAAAAGGAACGAAGGTTGTATACGAATTGAACAGATGTAGGTGGATCGGATTACCTTTCATTACTCGAACATATTGCCCCATCGCAGCAGTATACGTGTACGAGAAAAGTCTCGTATCAGGTAGCCTTCGTACAGGTGGACATAGAGAGGATCACATCCTTCTCGTGCGAGGGAGTTCCCGAGTTTCAAGAGGTAAAGCCGCCTTCCAAGAGACCAGCTCGTGAGCGAACCCATTTTTCTTGGAGTTTTCGTTGGGCAAAAGCTTCACGCTTCATTATTCTCAGTAAAACTATCTTTTATAGCATTCCGAGTCGTTAACTTTAAATGGCAGCCTTTTGGGGACCACATTCCTGCGGGAGTGAGTCCCCTTTTTTTCTACAACGCTCCGTGAGTAGTAACAGTAGTGATAGTAGTGGTGGTAGTGTGTTTTAGTTAGTGTTGATGCTGAGCGACAGGGACGAAGTCATGCGGCGAGTTGATCAAAGTGTGCCGCCAACGGATGATGGATTCACCGTCGCTGATCCCAGCAAGCGATAGTGGCACTTGCCAGCGTCCCGTAACACCCTCCGAAAGTTTCGTGGTCGCTAGTTGATTGAGTGTTGTGAAGGTAGTGAAGAGGGTTACGAGAGGGAATATCTTGCGGCTCAATAAATATCTCGTGGGCTCATGAACACTCAGGGTTTCGGCACTGGAGGAAGAAGTAGAAACTTTCAGAAAAAGGATCAAATAATGATAACTCAGAAAATGCATGAAAATTATTCGATTAGATTTTTCCTTTTTTTTTNTCGGCACTGGAGGAAGAAGTAGAAACTTTCAGAAAAAGGATCAAATAATGATAACTCAGAAAATGCATGAAAATTATTCGATTAGATATTTCCTTTTTTTGTGAACACAGTATGCCATCCAGTCCACAGTATCTTTCGCCTCGAATTTCCCAAGAGAAAAAGGAATAAAAATCGTTCTTTCAGCTCACCGGCACGTATACGTCGTTTCTTCAGCATGAAAAAGAAGAAGAAGAAGGATAGCAATGGTAGCAGCGACACCTCTCTGATTTCGGTTGTTCTTATTGACACGGATTATCGTTCGAACTCCGAGGAAAGTTCCTCGTCACAGCTTGCACAACCTGGCTGGTATGTGTACGCACCACAGCTGCTGGCTACAAAGGTGAGATTAAGGCGAAGTATAAACCTGCACATTTTTAACTTGCTTCAACAATTAGCTAGCTATACAACTATGTGCTTCTAGTCGGGAACCTATAGGATTTCCCAACCCTTTTTTTCTCCTATTCGTCTCTGTCAGGGTCCCCACAACAGAAGCTGCCTGATCCTTATTATTTTGGGTGCTTACAATTATTTTACAGAGTCGACTTCTACGAGCGTTAGGTTTCGAATTCCCGCCATCACTAATAATTGTCGATACGGCTTCAAGGAGTGTGGTGACAACAGAAGGACGACGATTACTGGTTGATGACGTGAATGGGACATCATTTCCATGGTTGGTTTTTCAGAATTACCTTCATATAACCGACAACTAATACTTGGTGCAATATTACACTGCTGTTTTCCATTCCCCCATTCTTACGCATCTTTATATGAGTCCCCCGCATGTTTGAACCTGATTTCATGGGAATTTGGTCACATGGATAGGCATAACATTTTGCTTTTGAGTGGATTCTTCTCGCACATATGCTCTACGACCAGCGTGCTTATTCATAACACAAACAAGACTCTCTTGCCATCACTCATCTTCAAAATTATAACGCAAAAAGCGTGGCAATTTGTGATTTATTTGAAGTGTGAGATTGTGACATATTATGATGTTTACCCAAGTTTTATTCAGGTGGCCACCAGCTGCGCTAGAAGTACTAAAGGGCAACATTTTACGCCGAGTAAATGGTACAGTGGAGACATCAGACTTTTCGACAATCAAAACAACTGTTCGTGGGCTCTTATTTGGAGCACAATGGGTTAGTTGCGAGATATTTCCTACTTTAGCTTCCCATTGATATTGTTTACAAATCAATATTATATTGATAATGTTTAGACAAGTAAGTAGGGTTGACTATGGCTACCTTGCTTATGTCTCTTTGCCCCACGACTCAGTAATTTGGCTTTCGTTACCTTGGGACTGATTAGGGAATTCGACTTTCTGCTGACACTTAATTATTGTAAACCCTTTGCTGAAAGCTCTACCAAATCGCTAAAACCGCTCAGTATTATTTGACCTCATGAAAAAGTTGCCATTACAGTGTCCCCCATGCCGCCAGTGGGTGAAACAACTGGTACCTGTCTACGAGCAAATGAAAGCGAATGGAATCTCATTAGAAATCATCTTTTGTTCATCGGACAGGACCCAAGAGGCTTTCGATCAATTCACAGCACAGGTAGAGTTCATTTTTGACACCGCTGAATGTTAGAAAGTTCCGTTAGCGTTATTTTCTTTCAAGATGTAAGTAGCGTAACCCTGAGCGTAACTCTTTCCATTCCAGATGCCATGGCCTGCGTTTGCCTATGATCCCTCCAAAACCACAGCCTTGACAAGGGTCTACAACATAAGCGGTGAGTTCATTGATTCCAAAAAATTTTCATGAAGCTTTTACTAATTTTTGATAGTAATTATAATGATGACTTTTTGAATATCTTCTAATAGTTTTTGATAATAATAGGGGTTTTCAATGCATAGTTTATCAGGCTAATCAGTGGTCAATTTTAGGAATCCCATCTTTGATTCTTCTGGACTCGTCTGGTAGAGTGATCACTAATCATGGTCGGTCGTCTTTACTGGAAGATCCGGCTGGTCGTTATTTCCCATGGGGTCCTCGTCCATTGTATGAGCTTAACGAATATACCGTCTGCCGCCTCAGAGATGAGCCATCGTTGATTCTTTTCACAGGTCAGCATTCTTCACGTCACTTTTCCGATCAATCTGAGGATATCCCGATATTCCGATCAATTCCAGAAGGCTCGACCGATGACATTCAATTCTCTCTGTCTGTGATGGATGCGCTGTCGAAACGATTATTTGAAGAACGTATGAAAATTGAAGAACGACGTCTGGAAGAGGCCGAAAAGAAGTGTGATGAAAACGCTGAACAAGAAGGAAATGGACTATCCAAATCGGCTAGTAGCGAAGAGTGTAGGTAAGTGTACCTCCAAACATCGCTTCCTTCAGAAAACTTGCAGTAACTCCATCAGACTTCATTGCTTCCAGCTCGACTGGCTCGGATTTACCGATACCCCCACAAGCTGACCCATTGCAACTTCTTTACACAGGAGAGGATCCAATATGTGACCACGTGAGTTGCAATTTTTTCCTTTTGTCCCTCAATGACGAAGCCTCGTGGCCAATAAAGGAGGTTTCCGCTCTGATAGTTGATCTGAAGGCGTACCATTTCAGATTCTTGAGTCGATCCTCGGTCTTGGTGATGTTGAGCTGCCATTGATCTGCATTGTTGATGGCCTGGCCGGCCATCTATGTGTCTGTGATCGTCCTGACGTCTCTGAAGCTGTGCTGGACGAGTTTGTTGCTGAATATCGGGCTGGCAAACTCCAATGGACTCCACTGCCGGCTGCCAACCAAAATGCGGTGAGAACTTTGGAAACTTCGAAAGTTTCGAACTGGCCTAGCTTTAATTTAAAGTGACATTTTTCTTGCCCAGACGGAAGCCAGAAGAAAATCAACTTGGTGAAGTGGTATAGCCTTTATAAGATCACATTTCAGCCAAAAAGTGTCGGTGGCATTCCGAGTGCTATCATCGAACAGGCTCTTATCAGTCATTCTCCATCGCAGAATTCCATGGGTGGTGCTAAAGAAGAGGTGAAAGCCGTCTAAAGGACTCACTTTACCACTAACAGTCGCGGTTCCACCCGCAGAAGCTTGGCCATCATTCGCTGATCGGATGAAACTCACCACCAGAATCGAAGATCAAATCACCCTTTTGAAATGTTTTAAACCTTCTACCCAATCGATAATATACGTGTTGTTACAGACCTACTCGGTACCCTGCCCCATACCCTGTTTTGTACCCCTCGAGAATCGCATCTGAATCGCGTTTTTCACTTCAAATTTTAACCGAGTGCTCTTTGTTTACGGGCATGTTTCTTATGCTGCTTATAAATAGCTGGTGTATAATATTATTGTTTTAGCAAACACATCTGTTTACTGCCAGTAAATGTTTTAATAATTTTTTTCCAGTAATATTTGAATCCTTGTTTTACTGAAAACAATTTTGAGGGACGGCATATTAAAGAAATAACCCAGTTCCAGGTCAATACGTCTCATAATTTTGAAGTTTTAATAGTTTTATTATTTTAATCGCTGTAGTTCTATGCTAACTAGTCACCTCGTTATGGACTACCGTAACTTTTAATGTTTACCTTGTAACAATCCCGTTTGAAGCTTGCCGATATGCATAATTGTTATGTTGTTTGTATAAGTATTTGATGAATTAAGTAAATTTTAACCAAAATTTGAAGATGAGAAGGCAATTACCCAAAGGAAACAGGCAGAGTGGGGGTCAGTGAAGGCAGAGAGGCTACTTCAGTCAGAAACGGGTAAGTGTGACTGGAAAAGAACGAGAGAAACGGCGACATAGCAGGTTGCACACAAGGAATCAAGGATTTAGAGTAAAATTAATCTTTAGAATACTGCTGATATAGCAAAAGTGACAGCATGCGATTAAAGAAAATAAACAGCAACAAGAAGGCTACACAAGCCAAAATCCAAAAATCCGAAGAAAATTGAAGTTCTTTTCGCATTTCCCATAGAACCACAATCCCGTTTCGCTCTGATACCAATGGCAACAAGGCATACTATAGGGTGAAACTACTTGGGTTTCCGGATGTATAGAAGGTGGGAAGATCGGTGAGAACATTAAATTATCAAGAAGAATACTTAATAGAGAGAGACATCATTAGCTTTTCACAGGCTACTGCGGGCATGACAGTTACCGATCAGTTCGGTTGATAGCCCTTGATGGCTTAGGTTGGGGCTCAGAGCTACAGTGCGATCAGCACCAGCGGCTAAGTTTATAGATCATTGGAGAATTCACCCAAGCGGGCCGAGACAAAACGAGAGACAGTCCGACGGCCAGGATGAGGTCCTAGTCACTTTGTCAGGGATTGAATTGCCAATTCAATACCGTTCCAACAAAAAAAAATGCACGAAAATATGGACGTCTTTTGTGGCAGGCTATTTCTCATTCCAATCATAATAGTTCAAAAGATGACGAAATTATGTTTTGCTTCGAAGAACACCAAACATCACTCAGAATGAATGTTTAAACTTTTCTTTGATCATGAAAAATCAAATGTTTTTTTTTTCGATCAAAGTAAGTCTTTAAATGAGAAATAAAGATATTTTAGCATAAAAGGAAATCTTTTCTGTGCAAAGTGTCTGTAAGATCAAGGCTAGCCTATTAGTTGAGTTCCACGATTCCAGGTCATGTTATAAGCGACTTTAACACTACAGGTAAAACTTTGGTGCAAATGGTAACCATTTCAAGTGACAAAGCTGCTTGAAGCAAATTTCTCCCTGCCACTTGTAGCACCAACTCTGCGAGCGGTTCTATTTTCAGAGTATAAAGGTGGGATTCAGTTTTACAGGCTAGCGTACACCTACGAGAAAGCAATGAGCTATTAGCGCAGCATTCGTGCCGAGAGATAATAGTCGATGATTATGCAGCTGTATTCCAAATTATGCAGCAACCACACAAGAGTTGTTAGCGATAAAATCGATGATTCATTAGCAATGGAAAGTATTTACTGGAAAGTTTATATTTATATTTATTATTTATTTATTTAAATTTTTATATTAATATTAATGGCAGAACAGGATACTCAGGCAGTTTATTTATATTCTATACCGCTAATATTATTTTCACAGCCCCCAACACTATCCTTTTGTAAGTAAATGCCGATAGGGTTTTCGAATTGAGGGGCGCGGAAAGATTGGATAAGCGGACATGCCTGTTTGTTTTCCTACTGTAACCACCTACAGTAGCGCTCAAAAGTCTTCGGTGAAACGCTTCTTCAGTCCTTTCCTAGTGGATCGAATCATGCGAATTTTCAATATGTGTAGCATGGGTGTATTGTGAATATTTACCACTATTGACCTGCAATCTGATCATGTTCCAGATATACTAAAGAGCATNACGAGCGCTAATGCCTTAGTAGAGGAGAAAAACGTACATATGGTGCGAACAACTGCAGACGTCAATAACTTTGCTAATGGTGAAGTCTACTATCGCATCAAACCCTTGCTCTTAATTATGTGGATATTGCTGTTTGCAGTCGAATAGTGCTGGTTAGGGTGAAATATGCCCCAGTTAACACATCCAAATTTCAGGCAATTTGGTCTACTAAGAAAAAAAAATCATGAACGAAAAAGCGTCAAAGCATTTGACAAAAGAGTTTTGAGCGCTACTGTATATTTTACCCTACAAGCCAGAAGCAAATCGTATATTGAGCCTTGTACTGATCTCAAGGAGTTAAGTCGGCTAAGGTAACACAACTGAATAGGCGCTTCTAGGTTATGCAATTGACGAGTAAGACAAAGGGCATGAAGGTACATGACATCTTGCTTTCAAGGAAGCAAATTAATGAGTTCAGCCTGGATTAGAATACTTCAACCAATGCGCCAATAAAAAGTCACAATTGACTTACCTTAACTGGCGGGTCGCTACTCCTCCTTCCATCTACACTCGCGGGCATATAGAGCCGCTCAAATAGCCTGACAGATAAAGCCGGCTTCCTCTACAAGAACATAGACTTATCTAAGGACACAGTTTTGACCGCAGCCAAGGGATCTGGCTGCTACCTTAGTGGTTGTGAATAAAAGTTTGTTAAGGCGCAACCTACCATGTGCCCTGACTAGCCGAGACTATGCCTCAGCTCGCTTCCATGAACAAGCGATATATAATACCGGTGTTGTACATGAAGCTGATACCTACGTAATAGGTTGGTTTTAGCANCAAAGATACTTAAGGTACAAGGTCGCAATACGCGATTGTATACCATTCCAAAATTCAGTTTTCTAAATTTATTAGCGAAAATAACGTAGAACACTATAAAATCGAAAGAATAAGAACATTCAAGCAAGGCAAATCTCACGAAAACCAATGAAAAAAGATAATAAAAGTAAAAATAAATTAAAAAAAAACAAAGAAGCATACGAGATCACTTAAATCCCCATAACTAAAGTAAAACGTGCCACAAATGCTACCACAGACGATCATGAGCAGCTCAACTTTATTGATGACTAATGCAGACTGTAGTGAGCACGATTAAGTTCAAATATGAACAAACGCAAGGAAACAGAAAATGCTAATCGAAATTTCCGTTATGTCACAACAGTCACAATCTCGATCATCTCATAGTACGCCTCTTACTGGCCATTATCAATTGTTATCACCTACTGCCACATTGGTTCCACTCCAATTATCAAGCAGAAATGCTAATACCTCCGAGTTAGTGCGTAGGTCTAACGAACTAGATGATACTTGCTTCCTGTGACACTCGTTATCAACACTAATCGTTTACCGTCAATGCTCCTATCCTACCATCTACCTTTGTAAATAAATAAATACGAAAAGGTATCGGTTAGACGCATAAAAACAAACTTATAAAGACCTTTCCTCTCAGTCGATTAGCGGTAAACGACTGGTGATTATTCCTGACACCGTAACCGCTTATGGTCGCGTTGCTGCATGATTGAAACAGAGCTCACCATTCGTCAAACAACAATCACAAAACAGCAATACTATGAAAACGAAAACATTTCTCGTCAAATTATTTCCCTACAATAACAAATCCGAAGGCATTAAGAGCAAGACTGTAAAACAGCCAAAAACCTGTACGGAACGAAAAAAAGCTAATAGAGCGAGATACTGTAATGGAAACAACAATTCACCGAGATTTTAAAGACCATTTGAAGAGCATGAAACCCAAATTCCACTAGAAAGATACAGGCCAGCTCTTACTGACGATTATCTGATCCAGAAAAGTTCTTCAGAATACAAAGGCACTAGAAAGAGTCATCTCCTTCACCCTCTGAGATCACCATCTCGGAGTCGTCCGCCATAATGCTGCAATATGCACTATTAGAACCTCCAACCAGCTGCGAATCGTTTTCAAATGTAGAAAAGCCATATATATATGCATGATGTTCCCACTAATTTTGCCTTTCGCCAATACTATGCTATGGGAAAGAGGACCAGGAGTCATGATCATGGTCGTCGCCTAAGACATGAGATGACATCGATGACACGATGTCACCTCATGTCTTGTGCGACGACCATGTTCAGGACTCCTCTTATGCATACGCATGCCACCACTGCCGCCCGCACACTTCAAAAATGCTAGCGCTTTTCAATAGGCTCATATTGAAATATCATTAAGCTTGTTTGCATTACCCTACCAAGCCGAAAATGCCCTTAAATAAAACTGGGATCGCTTTCTCTTCGCTATGCCAAATGCCAGTACTACAAGAAAGTAAGCTGAGTCAGATTTAGCTACAAGTAATTATTCGTACATGAATTCAATAGTAATAGCTGGTGAGACATCAAATTATCCACATACACACGTCTGACGCTGACTTGCAAAACGAAATGTCTAAAGCCCTTTTTGCGAGAAGGTCTTCTTGCCTAATATAAAAGTTCTGTAGATGTGATGAGACAGTTACGGGCTTATGTCTTAGCCCAAATCTCTGTTATTCACTTTAATTCACCAGTTGGAAAGAAAAAAATTTAAATGAAAAGAAAAGACGTCACCTGGCTCCTTGTGTGATATCAAATCCACCCGTTGTGTTGAACGAATCATCTATTGGCTTGATTGGGTTGATGTCACCGGCATTATCATGATCGTGTTCTTCCTTCATCGCCTCAGCCGTCCGCAGAATCAGACGACCTTCTTCCGAGATCTGGAAATAGTTTCACTCATCACTGCTTTCACCAAACTACTCATTGAAGATTCAGGCATTCGATAAGATTACTGTTAAATAATCAAACTCACAGAATCATGTTGTAAACATTTTTGGCCATAGAAAATTGCTTTCTCCACATCACGTTGTTCGAGATAGTGTTTTGCAAGGAACTGTACAGAGTAGACCACATTCTCGTCAGTATCCTAAACATTTAGTGGCTAAAGTGCCCAATTCCAGAAGAGTGCAATAGTTTTGAATACCTCTATGTCTTGATACTCCCTCAGATATTCCTCATAGGACCTTGCAGCACGTTGCATTTGGTTCTCAGACTCATACAACCTGTAGAAAGCATAGTTCAGAGAAACGCGATGCAAGAGCTAAAACATATGTGCTGAAAAGCTTCCAAAAAGTAAAGTAAGCAAAGAGACACACTCGAACAGCTCAGAGCACATGCCGTGCAGCGAGACATCTATCTAAGGGCTTAAAGAGGACTTGGCGCGCGGCTGGACGGCTACACAACTAGCAAACAATCGCTGCTCACTGTGAACGGCGAATAACGCCATATTTCCAAATACAGCTCATTCTCTTGAGTCTTCAGTTTTAGACTAATTGTTTTTTTTAAATGATGTACCAACTTGGCTAGCATCCAAAGCGCCGTGCCTTCCACATCACCGTATTTGAAAGCTGAGATGAAGCACTTCTCGGCGTTACGCAGTCGACCCATTTTCTGGTACACATCCCCGAGTGCGACCAGCATGCGGGAGTCTTGAGGTCTAAAATAACGGCAAACACTTCAAAGTTCAGTGAGGGACTCGTAATATCGAGGAAGCGCCCACTTGCACAAATGAGCCTGTTGGTAGTAGAACAATGAGTAAGTAGGCATTTTAATAATATCATACATCTGACCAAGACCGTACCAGCCACGGTAATCCTGTGGATCTACCTCTTAAAAAAATTGTGATAAAAAGCATAACATGAAACTCAGAATTGAAAAAAAGGAATCCATAAAAAACAAAAAAATTCAAAACCACTCTTTGACAGTCTTAGTATATGTGGCGACGACACTCACCGATGGCCCTTCTGTACGACATACAAGCTGCGGCATTGTTCTTCAGCTCCATGAATTCATGACCTACTAGGACCCAAATTGACGCAACACCAGGATTCAATCGAAGAGCGCGCTGGAAAAACCGAATCGCTTGTTCGTTTTCGCGTCGAAGACCATAATAATTACCTTAAAGAAGGGGCTGTATTAAGCGGGAGATGACAATGAGAAAATTCAAATAAAAAAAGACGGAATGTTGTTATAATGGGAGGAAATAAACAGGAAATATGCTCACCTACGATACAACATGTTTCAAAGCAATACTTGTGTGTTTCGAAAAATGAATGAGCGAGATCACAGAGTTGCACGCGATCACCCTGAAAACAAGCATATTTGCACAAATAGACATACCGAGTAGACACTAAAGTCCATACACGAATATATAAGGAATCAGAGTACAGGTTCATCTGCTCTATCCTGAGGGGATCCATTGACCGGATGCACTTGAAAAGTTCAACGGTCTTCTCATGATCTGAAAATTTGGAGCAATTAAACACTGGTCTCATACTCAATGGAGCAATGGAGTTGCGAGCAACGGTTTGGCCTGCGCGTTAAGTGAATCAGTAACAGTATCAGTTAATCAATATGTGTTTACCTTCGAATAATAAACTACAGGAACTGTTAGATGATATAATCCTAACAGAAGAAAGACCGCACAAATGCATTTTCTATCTCCAGATATGACACCCCCGAAGATCTCGTTGAAGCGCACGCAACAAACTTTGAGCGGCATGGCGACGCATGGTGACGAAAAATCGTAATGGATCGTGTAAAAGGGTTTTCGGCAATCATGGGTCGCATTTTATATCAGGATTGTACCGTACGCCTTTCCAGATATTTGTAAACTCAGAGATAGGACTGGTGCGCAGAACATTGGGACAAAACAGAGTTTCCTATGTTTTAACGGGTCGTTCCGAAACTTGTTTTTCGTGACGTATCACGCAAAAGTTTCTTCTATCTTCAAATTTTGCACACCAGTGGTCTGTTTGTGTTTGCCAGAGAGGTTACAACATAATGTGTAAGAGTTTAAATGAGCTTGTCATATTTGTGCGCTGACAGTTTCCTAAAAATGACCTGTTCTAGTACAACTACAAGTATTGAAGCTATTTACAAAGCACATAGTGGAGTAAACAGGATGCTCTTGAACTAAAACATACTTCATATATTGGATTACTCACCATGTAGATGATTCGAACAAGCAGCGATTTGTGTCAAGATCATCGGTATTCCTGGGAGCCCGCGAGCGACCAGGAGTTCAGCTTTTTTCAGGGCTTCACTAAAGTGAACAAATAGTGAAAGATGAGGTATTTGAAATCGATACAAAAAAGGTATGCTCACGAGTCCATATGAAATCTCGACATCGCTAAACTCTCGAACCAATCCGGCATCCATGACGTTTCAGGACTCTTGGTACACAATGCTTTACATACAGCAATCTAAAACTATAGCTTTTGAAAGCACGTTGTTTACAAGAGCAAAGAAATTCAGAGTAAGTCCTCACTTCATCGACGTTGTCTATTAATTGGACCAAGTCTTGCCATGCAGGCCAAAACCGAGAATCCATTTTGAGCACCTCTTTCATCGTTGCTGCAGCAGCTTGTGAAACTCCAAGCGATGCCTGGATCTTACCTTCTCTGTAATGTAGAACTGAAAGTAAGCTTTGCATCCAACTTCATAAGAGAGGGCTTTTATGCCAATTAAACTACACACTATTCTATAAACTATAGGATTTCATAACCGCACACGAATGGCTTCGACTGTGCTAGGTTGAGCAAATACCGTAGTATAACCTGGCCTGTAAGGCCGATGAACAGGGCTTGATACATAGGTACGTAAAGCATGCTGAATCATGCCTCCCACCCCTGGCTCCAATGAATCTCTCCAGGGGCCGTAAGGTATGCTCTCCTGTTCGGGGCTGGGACGCCCCGATTCAGGTCATTCTCTCTCTGCTCTCCCCGAGAGCATACCTTACCAGGAAGGGGACCCTCCCCTGTTCGGGTGAGCATACCTTACAGCCCCAGATGTTTTTAGGGTTAAAGGTTACATGACTCACAGGTACAGTAGAAAAATATCAAGTGGACGTGGCTCTCGACCGATTTCCCTCAACAATTTGGTAAAGTCGCTATCATCGCCATGCTCCACAGCTTTTCTATCGATTGCCTCTGCTTCATTTTCCAAGTGGGTTCGAACGCAAAACTAAAAAAAGGTCTAACAATATGAGGTAGACTTTTGCTAGGAAAGTCAATCAGAAATGAAATACATCTACAACAATGGCTTGGAAATCATTAATAAAAAAAAAGTTGGTCAGTAAAGAGCTCACCAAATACTTGCTCCAGTAATAGCTCTCCCCGAGAGCATACCTTACCAGGAAGGGGACCCTCCCCTGTTCGGGTGAGCATACCTTACAGCCCCAGATGTTTTTAGGGTTAAAGGTTACATGACTCACAGGTACAGTAGAAAAATATCAAGTGGACGTGGCTCTCGACCGATTTCCCTCAACAATTTGGTAAAGTCGCTATCATCGCCATGCTCCACAGCTTTTCTATCGATTGCCTCTGCTTCATTTTCCAAGTGAGTTCGAACGCAAAACTCAAAAAGGAGGTTTACCGATATGAATTAGAGTTTTGCTAGAAAAGTCAATCAGAAATGAAATAAATCTACATCAGACGGTTTGGAAATTATTAATAAAAAAGTTGGTCAGTAAAGAGCTCACCAAATACTTGCTCCAGTAATACAAAAATCTTTCCACGGGACCAACAAGTTTGGCTCTTTTTAGGAAAAACGAGGCCCGAGCAAAATCGCGATTTAGAAGAAGATTCTTTCCAAAAAGCAGATTACGATTACCAAGATTTACCGATGTTGAGTGAATGGCGGGCTAAAAAGTCACACTTCTTATCCGATACTCACAATAAGAGGAGAATATATTCATGATCAGGAAGGGCGACAGTCACGGCTACAAAAAGAGCCAACTGCAAAACAAATTATTGAAAGCGGGATGATAGGTCTAGGTCTCTGAGGTTAGCCGCACGCATCGCAAAGAGAATACTCACACAACGACCAGACCCTGGACACTTCGACTAAAGCTGAAATCAAGAGTCAAAACTCACTGGAGGGCGAGAGGACGTACTTGCTCCGTCAATGGACGCATTCTCAACAATATCTGCAAAGTCACTGATCCACGCAGCTGGACAGTATGCCAATATCTCTAGCACCCTGAAAATGGCAAAAGGAGTAATAGGTCGCAACAAATGTGATATTTAACTAGCGGGGGGAACTTATATATAGAAGTAGATCTCCTCTATAACATTTTGTTGCACCGTAAAAGTGCTGACTGGCTTAGAAAACAACGGCGGCTCGACACAAGATGAACTCGGCTGTCTTTAACAGCCCTACATATCTCGAACCAAAGCCGCAACAGGGTCGCCATGCCTTGACAATCATAGGAAGTGAAGCACAAAACTAATGGTGCATATAAGAGATATAGGCATGATGGGAGAGGAATCTGAAGACAACCGAGAAACGCGACTTCGATGTGGAAGATTTCCAAGTCAACCCGGAAATGTAAAGCTACGGAGGCTATGCTTCCCATAAAGCCAAGCCGTCATGAGATTATCATGTCGGTAGACGAGACACGACTAAATGGGCAGGGACGAATGTTTTTTTTTCGAAAATGGACGCTTCGGTAGAGTGCTAGCAAATAATCTTACCATTTACTTGTATCCGTCAAAAATCGTTCATCACAGCAATCGAGAAGCCATTGCAAATCAGCTACAAACTGAACGCCATTGATTTTAGGAGCTGACGCAAACTCATTTACCGTCGTATTCAGGTTCATCACACCTAAAAGGTATAAAGTTTCAATTGAAAATTCAAAAGGACGTAACAGTCGCAACAAAAACACTCTAATAATATGTTTTGACTTGATGTTTTGTTAACTGATCTTATATCGCCGCAGTACGCGATGCGAAAGTCTCACAAGGATGGCGATTTGCAGACAAAACTTCAGTCTCGGACGGGACTCGAACCCGTAGTTGTCCTTTCCGGAGACAAGTACGGGTTCGGGTCCCGTCCGAGACTGAAGTTTTGTCCACAAATCGCCATCCTTGTGAGACTTTCTAATAATATGCTAGAATGGGTAAGGGCGAGTTTATGGAAACCAATATTCATACAATTGAACGCTCGTCACCAAGCTCACCTAAGCATACTCGTCTATTCTGAAGTGGGCACATATGTCATGATTTAAAATGTGAGGAAATAAAATCATTTTTAAAAGTCTTTCGATAATTTCTGTTGAAATGATGGAAAGAATTTCCAAACTAGAGAATTCTGAGGCAACCATTCCCCCTCAGGCTCAACCAAAAGGTAAGACAAGGAAAATCAGCCCAGCAAAGAAAACAAGGCTAGGAAGACCATATTTTAATTCAAAACAGGCTTGATCCCGCTTGTTGCTGCCATTTCCAATGTGGCGTCCGCATTACACGTACCCTACGCATCATGCACGCCCAAATTCTTAATTCTCACCTTGACTTTCGAATGAGGCGACCAACATCTCTTGAGATTAACTTTTTTAACTATTGAATTTTCTATTTTCATCCTAGTATTCGATTCATAAGGGAAAGAGACCTCCAGCGTCGCTTTAAGTTTCATTCTTCCTGAGTAGAACCCTGATTCTGGGATGAGATTACGTCAGTTCATTATGAGAAGCATTCAAGCGTTATCCTATGCAGGTCAATAGAAGGGCAATGGGAGGGATAAGAGAACAATAGTACTACTTTTGTCTCAATTCACCTCAGAAACATGCAAAACAGGAGATTTTCGAATTGGGAAAACGGGCCAGCTGAGGAGAGGGGATAGCTCACCCGCTATCAAAATCGGCCTTAATACTGCCTCTCCTCCTCCTGCTCTTTTAGCCAGTAGTGTTTTTCCTATTTTTGGTCTCTCTCCCTTTCTATATGCTCAAAGGCGGTGAATAACTCGTTCTCTTTGCTAGTAGTACTACCATTTCCAATTCCCAGTCGTGTTTATTGCACAATGTTTACTATAGGCCTCCGCCCAAACACGACAAATGTTTGGACCGAGGCCAATATGCGGTTCCTAAGAAGCCTCATTTTCAATACGCTTGTAGCGATTGTTCTTCGATTGTTTTACTTCCTATTGGAGGGCCCCTGATTCAATCAGATTTTTTTCAGATTTTGTTTAAAAGCCGCTGAGCGGCTTTGCGGGTATTTCACAATGAATTCTATGCCATCATCTGGCTTTTTTTCATCAATACTCGATAACATGGATACANCTCATTTTCAATACGCTTGTAGCGATTGTTCTTCGATTGTTTTACTTCCTATTGGAGGGCCCCTGATTCAATCAGATTTTTTTCAGATTTTGTTTAAAAGCCGCTGAGCGGCTTTGCGGGTATTTCACAATGAATTCTATGCCATCATCTGGCTTTTTTTCATCAATACTCGATAACATGGATACACTAACTGCGCCTACTTTTTCGCCTTTTCAAACCTCACATGAAGAAACCGATGTAAGTTCCCAAGCTCCTTTCGATCATATTTCTGGGCTTATAGGCCAATTACTGGTCATTTACTTACCGTTTTTTTTCAGTTTTCTCCCTTACTCAACCTACCCACTAAAGTTCTAGACAGAATCGTTTCCTACATCCCACTCAAAGGTGAGTTATTGACTAAAACACTTTGAAAAAGTTTAATAGATCCTTTAAACTCTCTAGTGTTTTCACATATTTCTAGTTTTCTTACTGTATCAGCCTTCACCCTTTAGAATTCCACTCAAATTCACGTCTTACAGTTCGTACCCTGACGATCGCTCGTGTTTGCCGTACTCTACGTGACTGCGTTTATCGCTCAATAACATCGGTTGCTTTTTATAAAACTCAACTGGACGAACTCAGTGACACAAGAATCAAGTACTTTCTGAGCATTCATGGTCGGCAAATCAATGCAATCAACTTCGATCTGTTCCGTTCCGTTGAAGACGAGGTAGATTTTCTTGGTGGAACGGACTTCTCGGCAAAATTTAATCGTCGAAAGTCTTTCATGAATGTACTTCATTGAGCGGAGCTGGTTTTTAGGCTTGCACTCAATGGAGCTGGCGTCAATCTGTTATAACGGCGGTTAAAATGTGCAGCAATCTCAGAGAATTGGACATTTTAGTTTGTAAACGTCATCGATTGAGAGATACGGATTTGCTAACGGTGAGACAACATCAATGATTAATTTTACCTACATTTTTGTACTTGACTTTGTGAAAACCAAAATGTAGTCTATGACAAAAGGGGTGAATGCGGAAATGAAACCATAGAAGCAGTTCCTGTTTCGAAATTTCAGTAAAAATCACGAAATCAAAAACTGACTATATCTTTCGGCAACTGTTTTCCGCCCCTATTTCACGGGCCCGTCTATTTCCAAGTCCCCGCTAGGTTTTTTGCTAGTTCCTGCAATTTTATCTAATCTAACCATTCAGATTTTCCGTGAATGCCCTCAACTTCAATCCCTTTGCATCGATGCTCAATACCTAAGCGGACATTGCTTCCAAGTAAGTTTTTTTGTTTCCTACATAAGTCGCTTTTTGAAATTTCAGCTACAGTATTTTACAATAGCCTTTTTAAAACACGTTTATTTATCGTTATTCTTACCTAGATTACTCCTAATTGCCCATTTTGCATGCTTCGTAAAAAAAANAAAAAAAACTTTCCTTTTCCAGGTTGTTCCCCAAGGGCTGACTCGTTTAGAATTAGAGATGTGTTTACGAATGTCTGAATCTTCGATGCGTTACATATTCAACCGTCTCAAAAAGCTCAAGGTCAGCGTACTGAAAATATTTTCATCTTCTGCTTTCATTTTCCATCCATCCGAAAGTGATTTTTTCCTTACATGGAAAAGAATTTGCGAATTCCTAGATATTTCAGGTACTATACGTGTCTGAACTAAAGATTCTAAGAGACCAAGTCATTTGTTCGTTAGTCCACAATTTAAGGAGCCTTACCGACCTTTCTATAATCGGAAATCCTGATACACCTAACCTAGGTTTGACATCATATAAATTTATTCATTTTTATTCACAGTATCATTTTTATTCATAGTAATTTCTTCTTTTTCTGCACAGTTGTAAACTATTCCCATACTTACTTCTGTTTGTTATGTTAAGACCTATCGGCTACCGCCTTGGGCCATTTGGCACGTCTTCCCCACCTTCAAAATCTATGCTTGGAAGGAATACCTGCTGTGACTGATCGTTTCCTTGCGGTACTTTCATCTTCAGTTTGCTTAGGGTTTCAGTTTTAGATAAGCAATTTAAAGTACTTCTTTAGGAGCTCGCTGACACAGCTAACAACGCAGCGGCAAGCAACATCACGAGCCTTTCACTAGCATTTTGCTTTAATTTCAGCTCGTATGTCCACTACATCGCCTTATTCCCTTTTATTCGCCATTTCACTTGCTTTTTATTCTAGGATAGGGCTTCAGCGGCTAGCTAGAATGCCAAAATTGGACAGTCTTAACCTTGACGGAATCACGAAACGTGACATTTCATCCGGCCTTCTAAAGGTGGCCGAGGAGGGGCGACTAATGAGGGTTAGTCCAAATAAATTTTTCGTTGGTTAGCTTGCGCATGAATTCATTCTGATGACATCTTTTTCTAGCTGCTCATTGCCGAAGGAACAAATGTATCGTGCGAAGCGCTAAGGAAAATCGTTAGCGTATCGTCGAACCTTCGTTTACTAGACATTAGTAACAACAACGTCCTATTGGATTGGGCTGCAGCGAATTCTCTGGTAAGTCTTATTGGCTTATTTTTTTTAGAAGATTGCATTTTTAATTATGGAAACACAACGGGAAAGGTATTTGTACCAACATACCTCTCATTTTCACGCTTTTTAAGCAAGCTTTATTTTCTAAAGGCTATTTATCTTTCGATTCAGGTCGCTCAGTGGGTTGCATCGAAGCGTCCCTCTCTAACAATTTTAACTAACAACCATATGCCATGGTCCATGATCACGCTACCAACACCATTGTCAATCTATACACCCCCTGTTGTTTCTGTATGCCACCTACACAGAAACACTGTGGCAGAGTTAGTTTTTACTGATTAATTTCTTGATTGACTATTGATTTTTTGCATTTTAAATTTGTAAGGTTGAGCTGCATTGAAGGGCCAACCTGCTTCGGGACATTCCTAAAAGTATAGCTCTTACTGCAGGTTCGAAGTGGTCCCAGGAAGTGTTCTTTCCGACGACAACTCATCCCAACTTCCACAAGGCTTACTATTGCCCCGTCTCCGACGTGGTAATAGGTATCGTCTGCTTTGTTCACTACGATCATTATCGCAAGAGGATTCGGACGATCAGGTATGGAGCCCTTAGTATAGACTCACTTATTTCCAGTACTAGTTGCAAATAATTTATTTAAGAAGGAGAATTCCTGGTCGCCTTCTCATTTTCGTTCGAATGGCAAAGGAAAGTCACCAAAAAGTCCAGCAACTATATCGCCTGTGTCGCCCATACAGCCGATTCCATTGTTCGGCAACGTTCAGAAGTAAGTGGCTGCTCAGAGAACGTTAGTAGTCATAGCATTTGTGGCGAAAGAAGAATTTGGGCCAGCTCTCCAAGATACCAGTTACCTCGATGAATTTAGTGCATCCATGAATCAAATACCTGGACTGGCTAGCTACTTTTCCAACGGTGTTCCACTAGAAACGCCACAAATGGTTATGCCTGAATTGTAAGTTCCTTGTATCTTTTCAAGTGTCCGTGAATTTGCAGACTTTTGAAAGTTAATTTCCTGCTTATGCTCGGGGAATGTTTTTAGATCTCCCGGCACGTATCCTGCACCCGATTTTAACCAGCTCGTGCCGCCAGAAATGTGTAAGTTCGTTGAATATCTGCTGTTGGCATTGGTTTTCCTTTCATGTGCCATGTTTTTACAGCTTTGGAAGCTTGGATGATGTGGCTGTCTGCGAATCAAGTCTACGATCCGTCAACACTTGCGCTAACGGATCCATTGTCTATTCTGACGACTGGTAGCGGTGGAGCACCATGTCCTCCTGTGGAAATTCCTCAACAGCCACGTATTCGCTATAGTCGTGGGCCACGTAACAAGCGTCGTTCAACTCCACAAAAACAGCAGTCGCCGAAGCCTTCCTCCTCTCCACAAAAGCCATTGACGAAGCCTTCCGCTCCACAAGTGTCTTTCAGTTCAGCGGATTTTCCACCACTACAGTAGGATAACTTTATGTTCTGATTTAGCTCTTCTATAGCTTTGCGGTAGTTGCCAGTAGTGGTGTCTGAACTGCGATATATACTTTAGAAGCCGCTCGATCGGTTCATGATGGTTCCTTTCATAGCTGCTCTTTAGTAGCTTCACATTGTAATAGCAAGCGAGTATGCTGTTCGTTTTAATAATCTTTAAACCGCATTAATGAATATTGTCCTCACCACCACATTACTAATAGACTGTTTGATCTCTATGATATTCACTACGAGCGCAAAACAGTCAAACAGAATGAATGATTTGTGATCAGCGATCATCCCCACCATCTTTCTATCTGTTGGTCATTGTAAGCTCTGCAAAACATTGTCCCTTTGAAAAAAGACGCAAATGTAAGTCTTTCACAATGCGGTGATCGCTTTTAGAAGTTTTCTACGTTGTTTTTATATGCTCAATAAAAATTTTGTATGTATGGTTGATGCCTCGGACGTTTGAAACCTAAAATTGCGCATGGGATAATATAATAGCGGGGCGTCGAATCACCCAGAGCATCCCCCATCAGGATTTCCGGCCATTCTTCAAGGTGTGGATATGCTGTATGTGCAATTTCTTCGAGAAGTTGAGACTTCGGCTCTGAAGATAGCTCTGAGCCTCTTTCCGATATGGACATTGCTCTAGATCTGTTGAGTCCAAACGATTTTGTCCCGAAAATACTGAATAATTGCGAGTAGGTGGTCGAACGGGTTGTTGCTGAAAAGGGATCATGAAGGTTCATGTAATCTGATTCTGTTGTGAATGTGGACATAGGTATTTGCGACATGGACGACCTTCAACCTTTAAATTTTAGCCAAGGAAACGCTCGTCATCGTTCTGCCTTCCACTGGCCTTCTGTACGCTATGTTAGCTCCATCGTAGCATCATTTTATAGCATTATTTTCTTCCCATGCACGTCAGCTCTTGGGAATTCTTATGCCTTGTCTGCTCTATCTACCCATTGGGCTCGGCGATGATTGATAGGGTATAATTCTCACTTCTCATCTCTCCTAATTAGATTGTCAAGAATGATATACTGGTACTGTAAACTACTCTCGTTGCGGCACGACATGGAGCAACCATTGGCTGAGCATTTCGAGCTTCCCCATCGTTTTTTCATTGTTGGATCACAGACAACAACTAGACTGGCCTACAGTTCACAAGGTTCTTCCTGATCGCTCAGTCTGTCGAAATCAGGCGCTTCGCTATCTTCACCGGAACATGCAACCCTTTTGAGCATGGCAAGACAACTGCCAAATTGTATGCAGCTGTGGGTACTCCCATTCTAAGCCTTCCACAATTGAAGGCAGATTTCTAGGCAGAAACTAGGGTTGAAGACAGTAAAGACTTACAGTCAGAAGAATTTGAGGGTATTGATGTAGTTTTTAGAGGGCATGTGTTACCGTAGCACGTTCTTACCAATAGTCTTGGACAAAAGTTAAGCAGATTTCAAAGATTGTTCCTTCCACTGCTAAGTGGTTGGTTGAATTATTCAATTGCATAGCAATCTAAGATGCAAAAAAACCAAAAATGAACAGCTTCAAATGTCAAAGAACCTTTGCTTAAACCTAAAACGTAGGCTCAATAGAGGTTTGACCAGAGGGTGGTAAGAACAGATTAAAAACTCGATATTGCGTTCATTTTTCATCCGGACAGACCACCTTATCTTGAGTTGATGTCTGTTTGGGATGGAGAGGCATGAACGAGGTATTTGGGAGCCAAAACTGAGGGAGCTCGGTCTGTATAAATGTTCAATTGTAGAAATTCCGTATCCTCTTTGGTTGGTTCACCTGCCAGACGAAGCGAAATGGGATAAGATGGTGCATCAGCAGTGGTAAAGTCCCGGGAGGGAGGATTCCAGCGGGCGCATCTCATCGAGCTGCAAAGCAGCCCTTCGAGGCTACGATCTTTTCAATAAGTTCTTAGTCTGCTTACTACAAAAACATGAAGTATGCTCCCCTCCCTCTCCACGACCAGACGAAGGCCCTGTTCGAGTAGCTTTGGGACTACTTCAAAAATCATTGAGTTTACTGCTTTCTTGAACTCTTCACGAGGTTTTTAAGTAAGCTTTATTCGGCTGACGTTTCGGCGGAATCGCCTTCTTCAGAGCCTGAAAGGATCATAACAATCTGTGACTATC